CAGCCGCTCTCGTAGGCATGATAACCAATATCAAGGACATCACCGAAAAAGTACCCTTCCTCGGCTGGATCAACGACCTCCCGAAAGTAGTTCTCGGCCTAATTCAAGGTCTTCTCCCTGCCGTCGCTCTCGCAATGCTAATGGCCATTGTTCCAATGATCATGCGAGGTAAGTCTCTGCTTTCTCTCCATTTCTCCTCCTCCCTCTACTCGTCAAGAGACACGGCAGCTAATCCTTCCATCCCCAGCCTGCGCCCGTCAAGCCGGCGTAGCAACGCAATCCCGGATCGAGCTCTTCGTGCAGAACTCCTACTTCCTCTTCCAAGTACTGCAAGTCTTCCTGGTCACGACGCTCACCTCGACCGTGGCATCATCCATCTCCGACCTCATCAAGAACCCGATGGGGATCCGCAAGCTGCTCTCCACGGCCCTGCCCAAGGCGTCGAATTTCTACATCAGCTATTTCATCTTGCAGGGTCTGGCGATGAGTGCGAGCAGGATTGTGCATTTGGGCGGGTTGATCAGACATCAGTTGATGCGGTGGGTGGGGGGTAGGCCGAGGATTATGGCGAGGAGGTATCATAGGTTGAGAAAGATCCATTGGGGGAGTGTGTTTCCGATGTTTACTAATATGGGGGTTATTGGTACGTCTTTTCCCATTTTCACCCCCTTTCCGACTCCTCTCCAGATTGAAAATTATAGAAGACCCAGCTAACACTCAAAAGCAATAACCTACTCCCTCATCGCCCCCCTAGTCCTCGGCGTCGCCACCCTCTGCCTCTCCCTCGTCTACCTAACCTACAAATACAACCTCCTCTACATCTACTCCTCCTCCCCGGACTCGCGCGGGATATTCTACCCTCGGGCCCTCAAGCAAACACTCACCGGCGTCTACCTCGCCGAGATCTGCATGATCGGACTCTTCGGTCTGAAAGGCGCTTACGGTCCGCTCGTCGTCACATTCGGACTCGTCATCTTCACGACTCTGGTACATGTAAGTTTGAACGCGGCATTGAGTCCGCTGTTGTTTAACTTGCCGAGGACGTTGGCGGTGGAGGAGGAGTTGAGGAGAGCAGGGAACCCGCCGTTTTTGGCGGAGGTGTTGAGTGATGTGAATGATCCTTTGAGCAGCGGGGTTGGTAGTCAGGAGGCGAAACTCGAGGATGGAGATGCGCGTCCAGACGCTGATGTGGGATATGATTCTGATTTCGACCCGTCCTCACCCAACACCACCACCACAAACTCAGGAGATCCCGACCTCAACCACGGCGATCAAATCTCCCGCTCCCTCGCCCCAGAAGGCACCACCCGCCTCACCACCCTCTCCCTCCGCACGCTCCTTACCCTCCTCTCAAAACAATACCACTCCTCTCCCCTCCCCGCCCTCATCCACCGCCTCGACTTCTGGACCTACTGGATCGCACCCCCCGCGACCCTCACCGCACCCAATTTCCTCTTGAAGTTCCTCCACCCCGAGATATTCTCCGATTATCACGTCTTGCGAGCGCAGATACCTGCTGATGTGGCGGGCGTGGATGTCGATGGGCAGTATACAGCTGAGGTGTTGAAGGATGCGTATGCGCCGCCGGCGATGAGGAAACGCGCGCCGAGGATTTGGATACCGAGGGATGGGTTGGGGGGTGGTGTGTCGGGGCAGGAGGAGAGGCATTGTAATGGGAATGGAGGGGGTGGGGATAAGGCGAAGAGTGGGGTGGAGTGTAGGGAGGAGGAGGCGTGGATAGATGAGAGGAGTGGGCAGGTGAGGTGTGAGTTGGAGGGGAATGTGGAGGCGTGGTGTGTGGAGAGGGGGGAGAGGGTGAGGTTTTGATTCTTTGGGAGTGGGGGATGCGAAGAGGGAGAGGATTGGCTACAGGAGAGTGGAAGTGAGCGAGCAGACAGGACGACCTTACGGTCCCATCTGATCTACAAATATTGAAGCAACAGTGAGCGATTTTAGCGATTTAGCGATTCTGATCAACAGCCCGGCGTTGGCATGAGCGATCTACAATGTATGTACATGTATATGATATGATATCCCAGGGATTACAACATGGAATGGAAATGATAATTTTCCTTCCTTCTACCTTGAAAAAGAAAGAAAGAGAAGACAATTGAAGCACACTACCCTTTCTCCCCTAGAAGTCTAGCAGCAGAAATAGAAAATAAAGTGTTGAATCGCCCTATTGCGCTATTAGTTTCCAATGGTTCATGTGAATTTGGAAGTATTCGGCCCCGTTGAGAATTCATGAGGGACGAGAAATTGCGAAATACCTTTTTACCGCTTTCTTGTTGTATTGGCCCAGAATAGAAGTAGAAACGAAAGAAGCAAGCACCCACGCACAGTCACCAGTGAAGAAGAAAAGCGCTGCTGGTACAGATTGTGGTCATGTCATGTATTTCATTATTATCGACTCCACCCACACTGCTGAAGTACAGCAATTCGAATTGTAACTCCTTCTTGCAGTCTATCCACACCCAATCTTCTCCACCTTCCCACTCTGAAGTCGTTTATGCAGCTCCCTCCTAGAAATCGGTCAGCCTTGAATAGGGGGGTGGCGTGGGATGAATTCGAAACATACCTTTCTCTGGCCAACGAAGAACCCCAATCCAAAAGTCTCGGTTGTGAATGTGATCTTGCTTCCCTTGGGGACTGATTGTTGTTAGCTCAGCTCTGCAAAACCACTCAATCTACAGGGCTTCCGTGTCCATGTCCATCGTTCCAGCCAAACCCTCCTGTCCTCCATTTCCACGGGCACAGCTCTTCCCTTACCAGCCACCATAATATAGTATAGAAGTCTCCCACTTACAATAAAACACATCCCCCTTAACAGCATGCACCTTCTGTCCCGTCTCATCACTGATATCAAACTCGCCATCGACAATGATCTTCATCTCATGATACGTATACTCGTAGACCAGCGGCGTGCCCTTCTCCAATCTGTAGAAGCCGGCTGAGATGGGGGCCGTGGCGTCGGTGGAGGTGGCGACGTCGCCGAGGAAGGCGTTCTCGTTGGCGATCAACGGGGGTTTGAAGGAGGTTTGGGCGCCGGGGAGGTGTGTGAAGGCGGACATTTTGGGTTCGAGGGGAGGGGAAGTTGTGGGTTTGGGGGATGAGGATTTGGTTTTGCTGAGGAGGGAGCCCATGTTAGCTGCTGTGTGGGAGAGAGGTGTATGTGGTGAGGAGATAGCTGGTGGAAGAGCTGCAATTGAATAGAACTGAACTCGAAGACAGGTATGTAGAATGCAGAAGGCAAGGCAAGGCGGACAGGGCAGAGAAGTATACATACCTGTTTATCTCAAAGAGGGTCCTTTTGGTCTTCGCTGTCAATCGCAGATGATAGACAGATAGATAGAAGCTGTAGATAAGTGAGGTATAGAGTATGCAGAGCAGGAAATCTTTCCCTTCCAGACACACACAGCTGCACTTATATACCTACCTCTTACTCGTCTGCCGTCAGCAAGAGGCCTACCAACCATTGTACCTACCCCTCTATAGCAAGACAACCCCTCATTCGAGAGCCGCAAGTTAGGGCGCTGGACTGCATTGCTGTTTTGGGATGGAGGGGTGCGTGTTGACTGGTTGGAGTTGGCCTTGTCTGGTGTCGGGTCGGATCCTAACCCATCCTATCCACTCATGTTCCCGAACTCTGTATATCCTACGCTGAGTTTGTTCTCTGCCGTTGGAAGGGTATGCAATGCAAGGTGCTTGCTGCCCTAATTTGGTCGATACGTGGGGTTGGGTCGGGTAGGGAGGCTAGGAGGTATCGACGCCAGTGGATGGATAGGTAGATATCGCTATGCTGACTCGCAGACAGCAGCTCTTGTGATTGGCGGTGCTTCATTTGGGGCAGATTAGAAAGACCTGTATATCTTGGTATTGTATCTGTTTCACCCAATCTATAGCCAGCTTCATAACCAAGATGTTCGTGCATAGGCTATTGCTCTCAGCTTCCAAGCAAATGCTTACCTCTCTACCTACCTACAGTTCTCTATCATCGTGTACAGATACGCACGTAACGAAGTCGCCCTCGAATCGAGACATCAACCTGCTGGCAGGCAAGCACATCATTGGAGGAGCCATGTTCCTGGTGTGTTCAAGCCAATACAAGTGGCCGCGATAAGGACTGTATCGGAGATGTTGATCGAGAGAGTGTTTAGAGAAGGGAAGTTTTGCCTTGATGCGGTTAAATTCTAGAGCAGTTGTCCCCACCTTTGGTGTTTGCTCTGTTTGCACGCGGGGTTGAGAAAGAAAGAACAAACGCGACGGGATCCCGAAGAGTAGAGCAGTTGAACAGAGAGGGAACTTAGTAGATGGACGTATTTCGGTGATTCGGAATCTGTATGGTTTGTATTTGATACCCACTTTGATCCCTCTGAGCATTGAGTGCATTGTAAGAATATTACACAGTGCAAATGACCCAGGAGCTGGAGCTGGCACGGGGTGGTCAATTGCCCCACCAAGCCCAAACCAGAGTCAATCCGAGTTCTGTCCTGTCACAACCTGTCAATTATTTACAAATATCCGCTTGTTTCTGGGAATGCTCACATGAGTTGAAGATATCATGTCAAATAGAGCCCTTGGTTATACCATTCTGTGGAAGATCCTTGCGAACAGGTCCCAAGACGCCAGCGGCGAAGTCAGCTTGGACATGCTTCTTCCTCTCAGTGATACTCAATGAACTGAAGGAGGAGCAGCACCATCTCAATATGAATTAAATTCAGTGTTCTCTTCAAGTCTCATTATCCCAACATCTCTAAAAATATCAAACTTGTTTGGCTCATGCGCTGACAAAATTACCTATGCTAGAGAAGCGTCTCGCTCCTTCCAATCGAGCAGCACCCCACAACAAGCTCCACCTTCCTTCCCACTACCCAAAAAAAAAAAATCCGCTTTCACTACCTCCTGTATCTAACCAAATAAGCAAAACCAATCACAAATCAGCAGTGATTCGCCTCGCTTTAGACCCCTTGAAATTCGCAAAATTCGAGGTCAAACAAACACTCTCGGTCGTCTAGTTGGTTTATGGCGTCGGACTGTAATGGTTACATATTCAGAATCATCCGAATGTCGCGCGTTCGACTCGCGCCTGAGAGACAAATTTTTCTTTTCTTTTTTTTCTTGTCCTTTTTTGCTTTTTCTTTTTTATGCTTTTTGGGCCTTTGGGAGGATGGAGAGGGAAAATAAAAATGGATGGGAGGGGGGAGTCATAGGAGGTAAGCGAGACTATTGCGTCGTGTTCCTAGTTTTGTGGGCCTTAGGGCAGATAACGGAATTGGATTGAGGAAAATGAAGTCATGAACTTTTTCTATGGGTTTTTAATATGAGAATGGTTTTTACATTTATAGACAATGACTGTATGGGAATTGGTGAAGAAGTTTCAGTTACTGGCTTGAAGTTTCAGCTTCCTTTTTTCCATGATCTATCACCAGTAGATATACTTGCTTTCTATCTCAAATGAAATTGAGTTACCAGTCTAAACCACACCACTGGATCGATCCAGCGAAATGTCGTTTCACTGATTCCTGGCTTAAATTTTGTGTTGCTGCCTTCGTCATCGCTGTTTCTATCCAGCTATAGGCTCGTTCCTCATTCAGCATCGAGCCTTTCTGCACTTCCATATAGAAGCTGTCAATATCAACTCTCTCTCAGATCAAGCTCAAACAATCACCGACCTTTTATTTCTCAAACTAAATCATCCACGCTCTAACTTCACATTCACGTCCAACCATGACGATGATTTACGATATTCCCACGTGACATCCCACGACCTCACTTTAAACCTCGCCTGGTCCCTTTCTCCTCACAACTCACTAATCTCAGAACACAAGTAGTAACCACAAATATACACAGCACCTACCACCACTCAAAGACTTCCCAAGCATGTCACCGTCACCGTCACTACCCTCATCCTCACCATCCTCATCTACACAATTCTTACAACCTTCCGCCCCTCTCTCCCCTCCCTCCCCCTCTAACTTATCAACCTTCCCCCTCTTCCCCTCGCTCCCCCCCGAGCTGCAGCTCAAAATCCTCTCCCTCGCCGCACATCTCCACCCCCGCACAATCGACATCTGGACGACCTGGCAAAAACACACACACTCCGCCACAATCTTCTACATCCAGCACTACGCCTCCTTACTCTCGTCATCCGCCTCCGTTGCCCCAGCACTACTATCCGTGTCGCGCACTGCGAGGGAGGAGTGTTTGGGTGCTTACTCTAGGGAGTTTGAGAGTCGGATGAGTGTTACTGTGGGGGCGAGGCCGGATTGGGGTGTATCTCGCAATGGGAAGGGGGGTGGGGGTGAGGAGTTAAAAAAAATCACCGTGACTATACCCGCGACATTCTTCCTCAATCCCTCAATCGACACGCTCGCACCGCGTGGTTTCTGGAATCTAGTTTCCTTTCCCGATTTCTGCACGCGGATCTCCACGCTGCGAGTACGCAGCATCGCTATCGATGTATCGGGGTGTTTCTGGCGGGAGAACCTGAGGGATTATTGTAGGGCGAGGTGTTGGGTTGTTAATGGGGTTCGGGAGGTGTTGCTTTATGATCGGATGGGGATTGGGACGGGGTCTGGCGAGGGCGAGGGAGAGGGAAAGGGTTATGAGTATTTGGATAGCGCTAGGGAGAGGGCGGTTGAGAGGAGGGAGTTGAGGTTTGTGGATTTAGAGCTAGATAAGGGGTTGAAGACGGGGCCAGGGGAGGGTAAAGGGGAAGGGGAGCGGGAAAAGGAGAGCGAGTCTGTGAGGAAATTGAGGGATGTAGAGAGGTTTTTGGGAAAGGTCTTTAATATTATTGAAAATGAGGGGAATGGCGAGGGCGATGAAGAGTTTGGAGAGGTGAGGAAGGCGGAGTTTGTTTCGATGAAACCGACGGAGAAGAGTGCGTTTAGGAGGCCGGTTATTAAGTTAGTGAGGTTAGCTACTGAAACTGGGGCGAGTGTTTGAGTTTCGGGTATTTCAACTGGATTGGATCGGGGTTTGGAGTATCGGCTGTGTAGGGTTTGGAGCTATTAGGCGTAGGATATCGATGGGCATTGTTTTAAAGGTAGGTTGTATTGAATAGGCAGGCAAGCATGGTATTTTGCATCTCCTTGCTTTAATATTCGGCGTGTAGGATCACCTTATGTTAGTAATGATCACGACTTTATCAAGCATAGAGTGTTCTGCATTTACATTCTTCGCATGACATATCATTTTCGTTTCTAAATATACTTCCAAATGCCTACTTTGTTTTACCTCATAGTAATCCTGAACTTCGCACCGGTATGAAACGAAGCTCAATGTCGATCGGCCTAGGCACAGTTACAACAAGATATTTGCTTCGGTGTTAGGAAATATCCCGTGGAAATTGACAAAGTCTATCTGTTTTCATTTCAACGTTGATAACTTGTTTAGTTAACGGGATAGAATCATATAAAATAAAAGCTGACGCAATTCATCACCCTTCTATACCTCCCCTTCAATATCCGCTTGTAAACTCCGGTAGGTTATAGCGAATTAGTACAACGCAAACGAAACTACCAACTTCCCTCCTTACGTGCTAGGAAAACTTACGTACTAGGAAGGGACTGACCCTACACCTCCCGTAAAGCTTTGGTAGAATTTCGCCACGGTTTCGCCGTGGCTATACAAGCATGCTGTTGCAACCGTTACACACGGCCAATCTTGGCGTTTGTAGAAGTGCCTAAAAACTTGGGTTTGGTCTAGATGCTTCAAGATCCTGGTTCCCACTCTCTGAAATTGTAGTTAACACAAATGTGCCCTATGCATGTGAGCAGGACATGTGCGCAATATCCTGAATAGTCGCTTACTCTAAAGTGCCGTGCTATCTCGTTCTAATCTATGTTTCCGACGCTATCGCTCACAATATCTGACAGAACATATATGGTATGTAATGTGAAATCGCAAGCACGCCTTTCCGGAAGAAGCACCACATTTCCAGGCAAAAGCTTTGAGAAAATGCCGCTCTGCAGATGTTTTTGGAGCCAAATGCAAAGAATTTGACTCTGTTTATCGGCCCCAGAGTCTATGCGGCATATCAAAGCCAAATATGTGCCAGGTCTCAGGTTTGATCCGTGGCTTGATTTCTGGAAGCGGCGGAAGGGAGCAAACCTTTTGCTTCCAGCTCTGCCAAAGATCCGATGCCGAGCCACTGCACCTGATTCGAACACATCGATCTTCGATATATCTCTATGTAGGAGTGGTAATGCAATGAGCATTCCTCTGCTAGTCAATGTAGCTGGTTCATGAAGTTGTTGCACTGGTGTTGTGGATTGCGAAGCGAATTGTAGACTCTTCAAGGAGTTATTCTGAGAGCGCACGTGGCTCCTGAATTCATCAGGGGATCGTGCAAACAGTCCACGTTAGCGGGATTCGATTCGAGCACACTTCCAAGCGAAGATAGTACAATCTTCTGATTGCTTCATGATCTCTTCTTGCAATCGCATAAAGGCCCGACTTCCTTCTCCATATAGCATTGGCATGAACACATTGAAGAGACCCATAAGCGAGTACGCAGTGTCCTCAATACGTGATGTTGATCGACTAGAAGCCCAGGACATCCGCTCAGCAACTGTTTGAATGGTTGGATCTGCTCCACGGAGAACAAGAGGATCAATAGCGGTAATATCAGCGAGCTGCAAACAGAGACTAGCTTTTGTTCCAAATAAATTCCACTTGGAGTCATAGAGTTCGACAGAAGAAGGTGCGATGAGTTCCTCTGTAAACAATGTCAGCAAGTGAGTGGTTGTTATTCAGTGTGCTCTGGACTCACGTAAAGTCCAGCCTCTTCTGAACCATCTGCATGATGAAGGCCCCGATGTTGTACCAATCCGCGACTTATAGTCCTCCAGATATACATAGCAAATCTTTGCATTTCGGTACCACTTGTACATGGAACATATTACTTCCTGGAGCTCTGCACTACTGGTTTTATCAATGCAGCAAGTATCAACCCACAAATATTTGAAGCCGTGTCGTGCTGTTTGTTCACAGCAATTCTTGATCTTCTGGTATTATGGATCAATTTTCTCTTTCTTGACTCCCGTATGGGGGTCGATCCGCGAGCCAAGAAACCTTTTCATGTTCAATCGCCCGACAAATAGGCTGGAGGCCGGTTGGTTGTCAATTGCAATTGTCATGTGTCAAGTCGTTCCATCTAGAGCTACACATGGAAATGCATATTTTGGCCACTCCGGAATGCCTCCCTTGTTTGGCCGGCAGACGGTTACGCAAGAGGTAGGTTTGCCGGTGTGCTGACGGAATGGGTGAGGTTGCACAAGTTTACCCTGCATCAAGGCGAGAGGGTTGCTTTGCCGCTTGAGAGTAAACATGAGACTGTGCCACTTTCATTCGCTGAGTGATTGCCCTCTTACCGAGATCCGATTTCTGTTAGGATTGTGAGGAACATGAGGAGGTTTGTTAAGGAGATGTGTTTGCCAAGGCTACGTATGTGCTGAACATAATCGTTGTATTTACAGGAGGATGCTTACCAAACCGTACACTAGGCGCAGCCGACGACGCCCTATCTACAGTTTTGCTCCTGAGCAAGATCAGCCACATCTTCCAAACACTTCCTTTCCATCACACCTCCTCCAAAGGAGCATAATGTTGCCAGCTACATGGTTCTCATCCTGTGCTACGCTACCACACACTAAGCCCTCCTAAGCGGTGCACGCATTCGGCATTGCTATCTTCTTCAACAACACTGGGTAGACATGGGTTCCCGCAGGGAAGTTCTTCAGGTGCATCTGGAACTCGGGATTATGAAACGCCTCGCGGAAGGCCTTGGTCGACTCCCATTGAGTGACATTGACAAACATATTGCTTGCCTCGCCCAGTGCACGGTGTAGTTGCGTCGACAACATGCCGTACTGCTTCCTCATGAAATCGGAGTCGCGCTGCCAATTCTCAAGGAAGAGCTCGGCCTCGTTCGAGGACTTGAGGACAAAGGTGTTAATGATGGTGATAGCATGGACGTCGACCTTGGCTTCTTCTAAGAAAACGGTGGCGCTCCCTGGCATTTGATAGAAGTTGGGGAGCGCTCTCTCTGGCTCACCAGACTTGGTAGTGGTGGTAGTGGTGGTAGTTGA